ATACATATCATTCATGATCATGTTGTCTTTCTATTTATGTCCATCATGATTCACCTTTATTCTTTCCTGCTCCAGTTTGCTTTTCCTGCAATGGTTTTAGCTATTTTGGTTGGTTTACATGTACACCACCAGATATATTAAGAATACTGATAGAATCTAAATATTAAATCAAGCAAAGACATTTTCTACACCGACATTTCTGTATTTTGTAAAAAAAAAAATAACACTACATTGAGCACCTTTTACTTCAGGCTTAACATGAAACAATACAGTTAAAATAAAGATGAGCTTGTTGTATACATATCAGTCTCACTATAATTTTTTGTCCAATGGTACTTAGTATTTTCATTTTGAATTGCTAAAATTCAAGATGTAGAGAAAGCAAAATATTTCATTGTGATTAAGCACAGCCGTAAACTACAGTGGCCAAATCTGTTTTGTCGTTGAGAGGCAAGATATAGCTAAAGTCATCCAATAACAATGGCTAGATTTTTGTCAACAAATTTTCATGTTTTAATGTCCACAATGAAATGCTCTCTGTGATTGGAAAGCTCCACATGGGTTTTGATGTCCGTCAATCAAAATGTACATACTACTATTTTACTTAATAAAATACAATTGCAAAACTGAAACAAAAACTAGGCAGAATTCCAGATAATCACATACTGAATTCCAGAAATAGCATGCAGCAAATTGAACCACCAGAACTGAATCAACATTTTGGGGATAATAATAATCCCTCAAAAATAATCAAATAATAACAATGAGTACTGAATCAATATTTTAGGGATTAATAATAAGAGATGTCCATGGTGAAGCCTTTTAAGGGGCTCTGTGGGAAGAAGCCCCCTGGAAGGAAAAGTTTTTTTAATTAAATAATTATGATTTTTTATTTTATTTTTCGAAACATTTTTTGTATATTTTGTATATTAAAACCTATCATGTCAAATTTTCAGGGATAGGCATATAGATAGCTCTGTGCTCAATCTTATATTCTGCTAAAGGATCCCTGTCGACGTCCTACTGCACTATGTGTTTTTTCGTATGTACAGTTATATAACCTCCCCTTAATTTTGTTCTGGCTTTAACTTTAGCACATTTTGGCTAGGACACTTTCGTTGACATATAGGTCAGAGTAAATTAGTTAGAGAACCGTATAACAATCCAAGTCCAGGGTTCGAATCCCAGTCCAGCCCAGCTGATATTTTACACTCAAACACTGTTTGTTGATCATGTTTTGTTTAATTTCATCTTAGTATTTTTCATAAAAGTCCTGCAGTACAATGTTTTCTTTCAAGAAATAATTTATCAAAGCTATCACAATGCCAGAAAAACAGTTCACAGTATTTTTTCTGACTGTGATCTGCCCGAAGAGGTTCAAATAAATTAACAGTTTCTCCAGACTGATCTCATAAATGTGGTCTTTCTAAATATGTAGCATATAAGGTAATATGGTAATCTTAATTTTTTCAACACAGATAGTATCTCTAGATATAGGTCAATGGTGTCTCATATACATGTGGCATTTCTGAACAAGTCTACTTATACATTTTTCTATGTATGGAAATCTGATGATCTTAGTTCAAATTTATATTTTGAAGGAAGAAAAGATAACATACAAAAGTAAAACAAATGCAAAGTATATTTGTCCATGCTCATCAACATCACAAGTTTCCCTGAAGCCATGAATTCAGTAAGTCATCTATCATGTGTACATGTTTAAACTTTGATTTAAAATTATATACCCCACATGCAGGTTTATCCAGGATAATAGGAAACCTGTTGTCTATTCATCTAGACAGACTTCATTGTTTTTTGTAACCACATCGACATAATATTTTGATTTACCTGACACTGACATGCAACAGTTTCTCTTTTCATCACTTCTTTTCTTCAAGATAAAAAATCTTGTTACATAAATTGAAGACAACTCCACCATGAACTGTGTGATAAGGCACCCATGGGAATGAAATAAAGTATTAATATGTAGTAGGATGAGAAATAGTGATAAAGATAGTGCCGTCGCTGGGCTGCAAACCCACAACCCTCGACTCTCCAGCCCGATGCTCTACCGCTGAGCTAAAGGGAAATTCCCTACAGCTGACGCTTGTAAGGCAACCGAATTAATCCACATCTTTTACACTATTCCCCCCTTTTTTCAAACATCAACCCAGGTTCTTTGACTCCCCGCCAAGGGTTCTCCTACCTTGAACGGGGAGGGTCAATGGCACCAATTTGTAATAGGATGAGGAATAGTGATAAAGGTAGTGCCGTCGCTGGGGCTCGAACCCGCGACCCTTGGCTCTCCAGCCCGAAGCATTACCGCTGAGCTTAAAGGAAATTCCCTACAGCTGACGCTTGTAAGGCAACCAAATTAATCCACATCTTTTACATATATTTACACTGATATTTATATATTTATCACCCAAAATATTTTTTTCACCTAGCATAAGGAAAATTCAAACCTTCATGGTTAAATCAGTCAGGAAAGTAAGACACAAAAAATATGTGTACATGTGTTTCCGGTTTCCCCTCCCAACAAACCTAGATTTTTGTGCCTACCCTGAAGTTTTTATTAGCATTTAGTGATGAGCACCAGTTATTAAAGTCATAACGCACCGGCTCTATATAAGCAAAGGAAAAATATTTTCAAACAACAAACTTTCCTCCCTTAACCGAACTAATATTTTTTCAATCAGAAACAGGAAACACACATCCTTTTTTCTTGCCTTGCGTACCACTCATGTTTTCAGGAGCAGATTGGCATTTGTTTAGTATAAAGATACAAAACTGTCACATGTCCGGTAATCCAATCATCTGAAAATCCAGACAATTCAGCTAGGAACAAATGTTGATGGACATGCATCAACACTTGCTCCACACAAAAATTATTGAATGTCTTCCATAACGAGCTGTACCTAGGGAGCACACAATATGGTATGCTGGTAATAAGTTCAACACGTTGATTTATTGTATGAGTTGTTTTAACGGTTTACTCATGGGCAATATATGACAGAGTGGGCTATGCAGTAATTTATTTTACAAAATACTGTACTGTATTTTGGATCCTGTGGGCTTATCCCCTTGTGAGAGTTGTACGCAGGAAACAAACTATAGTAATTAAATCACTTTGATTTTTTTTTTTTGCAGATGAACATTCCCACTGGCAGCTGTGTATGGAGAACAGAACTAGCCTCGTATAGAGCACCGATACATGACGATGTGCCATTTTCTATTGCATAACAAGTGGTTCCCTGTGAAAATTTGACATACAACTATAGGAAAACCTGGTTTGTCGTCTGATAAATTAGGGAAGTGTGATAATTACTCACAGTCACAGTATTAAGTGTCGTTACATTTGTAGTGTAATCTCTAAGCATTGAAATGTCACATGCTGTTGCAGAACAACCTTTGCAAGACATTCATAAATTTACAAGAAAAGATGCTAGGACAGATTTAAGATCAATTAATGCAAAGCACAAAGCAAATTTGGTGGAAGTAGCACAGTTTGGGCCTGTGTCTGCTAGCTACCATTAAGATTTCTGAAAGTACGACCATAATAGATTAAGTTGGCCAACGCTTCTGAGGCTGGGTGGAAAGCAGTCAACCCAATTTCCTCATACAGAGTCAGAGGACGAGAAAAGGATGAAGCAAGCTACACCCAAAGCTAAAAGTAAAAGAAATCTGAATTGCTAAAGTTTATCTATTTAAAGTAAAGGAAGGATTGGCAGACATGAAGATCACGAAATAAGAAGCCTGTGTTAAAAATTACATCAGAATTAAGATATATTATTTATATAACATTAACTTGCACTAAAGTTAAACTTCTTAAAATGGTACATTGCCATGTTAACCTAATCTGTGAGTGTTACATTCAACAATCAAGCCCCTTAAGGACATTCCAATATGGCTGCCACACCAAACTGTTTATCAAATTCAAAAACGCATTCCGTTAGCATTAGACAATCCCTGTCACAAAATAATTCTCCTCCTAGTCCAATATTTCTCAAACAAATACATGCACACTAAATTTCAGAAAAAAAACATTCAATAACTGATGAAAAACTCACTTTTTATATGTCCATTTTCCAAGCTAAATAAAAGTCACAATTCAGGGAAAAAACACATTTAAACTTGTAAATATCATAAGGTTGGATGTCCACGGAGATGCATTTTAGAAGAAAATGTGTCAAATCTCCAAATAATGCCATATATTTCCCGTGAATAAAACATAACTGAGCACAAAGCGAACAAGGCTTACTGAGGGTTGAAAAAGCATGCAAAAGCAAGTGTTAGCAGCCATATTCATGAATATTGGAATGTCCTTACTTTAGTAAGATGTATATAAGTTTAGCCCCCACCCTTCCCCCATCATAACTCTTATTTCAAGACAATTTAACACGACATCAAACATCAGAATAATTGACCTGGCATTTTAGTTATTAAATTGGTAGCCTACATGTATATCAATTTTAACTTGGTCTGTAATAAAAAATTAGGCCTAATACCGACGTCTTTATAAAAATAGTTCGCTGGCACAATATATAAATTATATATAAATGTCAGTCTCTTTTGCGACCCCAAATGAGATTCGAAAAGAAATGCTAATTTTGTATGATAAAATTATTGTATTAATAGACTGGTCTAATTAGGTTAAATTTTAAACGTGAACTGTTGAAACTATCTCATTTAAGACATTGTTTACATTAGCACATAATATTGAATTTCCCGCCATGCGTCAGTTCTTTTCAAAATCATACTATTGGATTGCTATGTTAAACTAAATGAAAGCACTAACAATCCTACTCCAACATACATTTCTGAAGTTGTCTTGAACTCTTCTAAGCATTTCCTGGACAAGTAGCATAGTTTTCGTAGTTTTCTCTGCTTTTTATAAATGTCGACTGCTTTTTATTTCAAACATGCGCAGTAAAACATGAGACAGGAGTCATTCAAATGCTTGAAAGACTTATTAGAGTAGCAGTTATCAAAGCGTGTCAGTTGCACTGATTCGTACACATGGCTGATGTAGAGGTGAGAGGTGTAATGATGTAGCGTAGCAGTCAATATTTACAAATATCACTAGTCTGTGGAGTTGTCAGGATACATTTGAGACTCACAAAGCATGATAATTAATTGTTGTATATGGTAGTTTCTCCCGATTACTGGTATCTTTGTTTCAAATATATGCAAATTATAATATACGTAATACAGTATCGACGGTACACGTAGTGCTCACAACGGAATGTTTGCGTTGGGTTGAAGGGTAACACGGGTGCGATAAACTATGTCAATGCCATTTGTTTGAGGATCAGAGAGCCACAGTACTTGACCATCTCAAAGAAAACAAGCGATGTGATTAAAACGATAAGTTAGTTGGGACCAGTAATTGTACTCCGGGTGGGTGATTGGTACAATTATATAGCCTTCTATAATTAGTGCAGGAAGGATATTTGACCTGAAGAGACATTTGTTCTTTTATATATAATAACATGAGGGTAAGAGGCTACTAGTCGGCTAATCTCGCCGTGTCCAACCTCTAACATTGTTGGAGTAGCCTGAAGCTTCATTGAGTGATGCTGAGGCGACTTGAAATATGATGTCATAACCGAAAGTGTTTACAACATCATAAAATAAAAATCTGAGGTTCTTATATACCGCTTTATCACAACCTAGTTATATGTCGTCTCAAAGGAGTTCACAAATTATTACCGTGGTTATAGGGCCTTAATTTGCAACCAGCCAATATCTTTCTCAACTCCCTGGGAAGTAGTCATATCAGCGCTCCCAGGTAGCACAATTCTAGCACTGCCCAACCACATACTCATTTTTTGAAGAGTAGACTGGAACAAGCTCGTTCAAAGATACAACACAGTGCCCATATATAGTGTTGCAAATGTGTCGCAGTCATCAATTCTCTCGAGTGTATTAAACATAGAGTTAAACTAACAGTTGACAATGCATGAATTTCCCAGGGTAAATACATACACAATTGAATCCACTGGTCCCTACTCTGTACCAGAGATTTTAACCCACTTTTAAAGTCAGAAAGATCAAATGAAATAAAAGTACAAATGAGTTTTTCCACAGAACAATAAAGTTAAGGGTAATTATATATTCCCTTTATTGCTTTCTGTGATACAGAAGAATTTAAAGGCGACCAAGTTTCTTAAATGAATGACATGAACACTAGCAATCTCTTCTACAAAACTGTTAGGCCTGTATTTACAATATTTTGGCTGCAGTTTGCTAGGGTGGAATGGCTATAAAGTTTGTTCAAATGAATGACCATCACCAATTTTCAGCATCACATGGGTCAAATGTGTTAAACTTTATATGACTTCTACAAGCAGGAGGCCTAAAATTTCCAGATTTGTCTGGTAGATTAACAGCGTGGAGGATGCAGGGCTCCTAAGTTTATTCAGATGAATTACCTTTACCTATCTTCAATATTGTCTAGATGGGACTATGGTTTAGCAATATCAACTATTTCGATTGTGATATATTTAAATTGTACATATGATTACTGACGTCTCCTTGATTTGCACTAGAGGAATTTCCCTTTAGCTCAGTGGTAGAGCGTCTAACTAAGAAGTCTGGGGCTAAAGGTTCGATCCCCGGTGGAAGCACACTACTTTCCTGCTACAAATCGTGACTCTGGCCCTTCCTGCAGTGATAGAGATTTAAAATGTGGGTTATGGTGTTAAGACAGGGGAAGTAGTGTGGCAGATTTTAATTGTATATATGATTATGGTTGCCTTCTACATGTAGCTTCACACTAGAGGGAATTCCCCTTTAGCCCAGTGGTAGAGCGTCTGACTAGATCAAACTTGATCTGTAAGGACTTCCCATCCTTCGTTTATACACATGGTTTCTTTGTTGTATTTTCGTGTCATCATTTCCATATACATGTCACATGCTAACATCAGTTTACAAACTCGGGGTCATTACAATTTTTGCTGTCGAGGGAGTTAACCATGGAACAGCTAGGGTATTATATCACATAAACATATTGAAAACATACAAAACCTACCAAAAAGAAACAAGTCGAACATCTGATAGAATGAGATTGTTGAAATTATAAGTTTTAACTTATCACTATTTGTTTGTATTCACAGGTGGTAGTCCTGTTCTTTGCCAAAAGTCGTGATTTGGCTGGTCAAAAGACGGCCAAAATCCTGGTTAAAAGTCCTGCCAATCTTCAACAGCTGGTCAGTACTATTGTGGGTCAATTTCCCAGGTAAGATCGATTGATTGATCTGTTACTTCAATTTTACATACTCTCTTTTAGTTAAAATTTGCAGAAAAAAAGTTCATCAAATTTAAAAAAAAATGGCAACCTTGACATCAAAACAGGAAGAATGCTTAAAAAACAAAATGAAAAAATACAACCTGCCTCAATCTGGCTCCTTAATTAACAATAACACCAATGTCACCAAAATGTTTTATTTTACAACTCGTGGATGGAACTATTCAAACACCTCTGAGTCCCTGATCACAATCTGTCACAAGATAGATTAATAGCCATCCAAACAAATCATTGTACCATTGTGATACATTTTGACAGCCATCTATAGATCTATAGTCACTCTGTTTCAAGTATGGTATTTCAGATGTTGAAACAGACATACATGTACAACAGGTCTGGATAGTAAAAAGATAGAATAAAAAAATACACAATGTACTGCTTCAGCAGCAAAGAAAGGGGAGTTTTCTGTTGTTGACTATGAAGCTATCTATATACATGTAACCAAGAGGTCAATCGTAATAAGATATGGCTATTTGCATGCTGGGACAAATAGAAGCGAGATCAAGTTTGTTCAACTGAATGGCATTGCTCCACTTTTAAGGTCACAGGGCGCCAGCTGGGGTCAAACGTATTTTACTGTTGATAAATGGTGTGGAGTGCTCTGTTAAGGGTAGAATCTGAATGATAACCTTAACTAACTTTTTAAAAAAGTCACATTTAAAAAAACAGCAATGTGTAGTGAAACTGTACTCAAGACTATTGAAATATGTTTGACCTTGAACCCTTTGAAGGTCACAGATGTGAGATGAACAACAATTGAACGACACAGGTCCACTGGGCCTCATTTGTATAGGCATAAAATATGACATACAGTACACCTGAACATATATATACCCGGTATATAGCCTGATGGTTAATGTTAAAATCTTCAACAAGTGCTACATTATAGTATAAATTGTATTCGACTGGATCAGTCATCTCATATGTATGGAGTTGGATGTCAGTTGCAATATTTATAAGAATGTGTGAGCCATAAAAATATAGCATTAATGATTGACATATGCAATTAAGCATAACAGAGGAAACTGATAGAGGTCAGAAATCGCTCAACCAAAAATAAATGGCCTGACAGTTCCTCTGTGATTATCCAATGGAAGAACATAAGACGTCTGACATTTCCTATTATTAACTTGGAGAAAATTTATATTTATTTGAATTGTGTAAGAAGATAATTACTGATCTGACACCAACCCCTGGCTTGGACGAAATATGATTCCAGGTGGAATCTTGTAATGTCGCACACATATCCTATTGTTAGACTGGCTTTTGTGGACGTTGTTTGATGATAAATTGATATAAATATATATTGTTATTTTTGTCCTTAAGGCTTAATATTGACTGATGAATATTTAATTTGATATCTGTATTGAATTTTCTTCAGTTATAAAGGTATGATCTAAATCAGAATGATTGATTGTACGTATGTTTACTGTGAAGTAACGAACAATAGTATTTATATATATATATATATAACTCCTCAAATTCATTTATGTTTTATCGATGTTTACCGAACCACTGTATTTATTACTTCTCAAATTACATGTGTCCTATAAATGTTTACAGTAAAGTGTGATGAACAATTCCATAGATGTCTCACCAATGTTTCTATAGAGTAAAGAGCAACTACGGCCCCTGGTTATTAAAAAGTTGAAGAGGAAAGTTAATACTTGACCGATGTACCTGCCCTTTGGTCAGGTGCTTTATGAAAATCATGCTTTTCAGGTCCTGTACAGATTAGTGTTGGAAATTAGAATTATGAAATTAAAATGTGTCCTCCTAGAAAATATTTTAAAATGAAAAATTGGTTTTCATAATTCAAATTGAGTAACATGTACTTCAATTTCATTTTGAAGGGGCCAAGTTTCTGCCTCTGGTGGAATAAACCCTGTTACTTCATTGTAGTTGTATGAATTATAGTTGGGTGCAAACAAAAATAATTTATTAGAAACAGATTTCACGATAAAATATGTTACAGTATATCATGACTGCACACGTTGGATCCATGATAGTTAACAAAACTTCAGACACAAAATAAACCCCACTAATTGTATGCAATAATCAAACTTGGTGTGAATTTAAATACACTATACAGTAATGGAGGTGCAGTGATGCGTGAAGATGATAGCTATATATGACCAGATCTTGGCGTCGGGTCTGTTCTAGTCTGTGATGGCCCGGTGGGCAGGTTCACACTGATTCCTACACACAACAATGGGAATCAATCAGTTGGAGATAATGCTAATTGTAATACAGTTTAATCAATGATTGTTTTGTTGGGAACATCTCGGTACATTTAGGTATGGGGTCACGACCAGACAACCTCAAAAATGTATGGGACGAGAGCAGACAAATTAAATGTTGCGTTTCTACAGTTTCAATTTGATTCAGGATAGGCAGGTCGATCATGTTAAAATATTTTTGAAATTGAGTCCCAGGCTTTTACATAAAAAAACCAGTTAAACAATCCAGTGATTTGTCAGTTTAAAGACACATTTTTTTCAATTAAAAGCTGGCTAAAAAAACTTTAGTATATAACATATATACACAGTAACCTGTGGTTCTAGTGTCCTGGTTGGATGAATCTGATTTACAAACATTTGTTTAATTAACAGTCACTAAAGCATCAATAAATGATTAATATAAAATTTGGTTGCATAGGTGTTTCCCAGTCCCACTTGTATCAAATCTTGAGTTTTCCTCAACATTTTAAAAGTGTTTCAATTAATTCAATATTGTTTGAAATTTCCCTTCGCTCTGAGATGTTTTATACAGATGGAACATGTAGCACATTCTGTTCATTATTTCATGAAAGACATATTGAATTCCAAAATTTGAAATGAATTGACTCAGTCTGAGGTTAGATAAATACTGATCTTTCAGTTGAATGATCGATTTATAAAGTAATAAAGTGATAGCGCTACCCTGTTAACAAACTTTTTGAAGATATACACGTGTAAGTTAAAGGACAGAAAACATAAATATATTTCTTCCGGCCTTAGGAGTGTTCTACAGGTCTGTTTTCATCATTATCATTTGTGTAGGTAATGTTAAGTATAAATCATTTTTTGTTAATTTAAATCTTCAAACAGTTCTCCAACTGTGCATGTACATGTGGTCCTGTTGGTAACACCCTATCTCCAGGGGTCAACTAGTAGTAGGAGGAACGAGTTCTATTATCACGGAGACATTGACCAAAACCATCATTAAGATCATAGTCATGATCTTTGATTTTCTTTCATTGAATTTAATTTCCGATTTTATACATCAGCACCTACTTAAAATGTATATATATTACCCAAGTGTTGTAACATGGTTGTAAACACGGGCTCACTGACTAAGCTTTTCAGACAATAGATCAGTTTAATACATGTGCATACACCTTAACTTGTTGTTCATTTTGAAATGGACTTGACATTTCTTAATTAGTATGTAACATACATTGGTCTATGTCTTGATTTACTAAGGTGTAGTTATACTAAATAATACTTCACTTGGCTGAATTCAAAAGCCTATTTAAAAAGTAATTCTAGTAATTTTAATATCATAAACTATAAGTGGAATCACATAAGCTTACACAAGTTTATTTTAAAAGAATTAAAGAAAATGTCAGAAAATGTTTTTGTTAAATAGAGAAAAAAAATGTTTTAAATTAGATCACTAATTGAAATCCTTTAGTACTGGAGGCATTTCAGCTTACAGCAGCGGTATTAAATCGTTTAAACAATTTACTGTATGAATTAAAGAAAAAAGGGTTGAAATCAGGAATCATATGACATTTTACATAGGTACATTGTATGATACTGTATAAAGATACATATTTCAGTGGTAACATTACAATGTATTCTAGCTAACACTGTTTGCACTTACCTGTAAGGTAGAGCATATTGTACTTAATTATGATTGTGATAGAAGATTCTGTATATTGTTTTTCTATTGCGAGTGTGCCAAGTCATGAATGCACTAACTAAATCCATTAGAAATTTATGATGCTCTAAAATTTGAAATAAGCATGTGTACAGTAATCCAAAGCGTGATCAAATCACCTGTTCAGGTGTGGTCAAAAGTGATTACAGTTTTATGGTAATTGTTTATGTCCTAAATGACTGTATTTATATATAGGTTATTTGTAGCTATTTTTGAGAGACAGTACATAGACCAGTCAGGTAACTTGACCTGATTAAGCTGTTGTTTATGTACTACATAAACTACGTCATTAAGTGGTGGATCACTGAACAAGGAGTAGGGGGCCTAATCAAAGTTGGCAGACAAACGGAAACATTTATAACTTTATGATCAAGTCAGATATCTTTCTGAAGCTTTTTTGGAAGGTGTTCAAATCATTTGACAAAATCGTTTTTTTTGTAAACTGTACAATACAGCTAAAATCAAAAAATTTGATTAAGAAATTTAGTAATGCAATAACCAGAAGTTTTTTGGCTTTAGAGGTAAAAACAATTGTAAATGCATCTAAGTGTGACAACTCCATGTCATCTTAATAAGGGCTGGGTATTTTAGTAACACCTCAGTATATAGTGTACTAGTCTAAATGTTTTTTGCAAGTCCCTAGTGTGTGTTTTGTATTAGAATTAAAGGGAGATAATTATCAGGTATGGCTGACATAAATTTTGGTGTCTGTTAAAATTACAACAGGATAATCTATAATAAAAATAATATATACACATTAAGGCAAGATCTCATTCAGGTTTATATTTCAAGTGTCAAAATATTGTTGTATGAGAGATTGACAATTGAACATAAAAGAACACACAGGTTTAAAAAATTATTGTGTAACATTTAATTAGCAGTGCATTGAACTTAAACTTAAACAAACTTATTGGCAGAATACAAATATAGCTATTCACCATTTAACAACTTCCCCTGAAAAATATCTTTATATATCGTATAAGTATCTATACACAGTCATATTCATGCATGATCTAAGTGTACCTTCCTGTTTATAACATAGTTATATTTGACCTTGAGAATGTTTATGTGGGGGGGG